AATGGGAACCAATCAAATAGAAATTCAGATACAAAAGCTGAGCGATTATTCTTTATTATAGGATATTACAATCGAACATATGTAGAACTGTTGCATCAATGCATTAACGTTTCGATGCACATCATTGCTTCTCATCAGGCGGTGGTAAATGAGGGTTATTACAATTTTTAATATTTAGTTACAAAACATCTCTTCTCCGCGAAAAAAATTAAAATTAAAATAAGAAAAGCAAGGAAGAAAGACATAAATTATATTCTCCTAAAAAAAAAGAAAAATAACGATACAAGATATAGCCGAAAAAAAAGAAAAGAAAGAAAGACAAGATATAGTCTCTTCAAAAGAAATAAAGAAGAAAGAAAAGAAGGGGCAGAGGAGAATATAAACCCAAGATATAATCTCTTCTCCGAAGAAAAGAAGAAGAGGTAAAAATAAATATGAGCATGACATAGAAATGAAAAGAAGCTAGACAAGATAGGTTGAGTAATGGTTTAACCAATGAAAATAGTCTATGTCAAGTAAAATGTCATGAAAGATTCGAAATTTAACCGATAGAGATGTCTATTTGAAGCAGAATGCAAAGACCGACGAGCGGTTGACGTTCTCATAGAAGAGGCATCACATTTTAACAATAATTATAATTAGTATGTAAATAAAAGGACAATTTAAGAAATAAAAGAAGGAAAAATATATCAAAATGTATGTATGTATGTATTTTATTCCAGAATTATTCCAATAAATAATTTTATATATATATATATATATATATATATATATATATATATTTTTCGAAAATTATAACAGAGAATATGTTATAAAGCTACTACAAAAATAGCCATTTTATTTCAACACTTCTGCTGTCTTATCAAGTGATTGTGTTGAATGTAGATGTTCTACATTCAACACCATCACTTGATAAAATACTAGAAGTGTTGAAACAAAATGGCTATAAAATTCAATTGTATGGATATGAGTTTGTGGCCCTGGGTTTCACGCTTTTGCAATCATCAGACACCTTTTGTAGTGATTTTATAACATATTTATGTTATAAATTTTCGAACAAATTATATTTGCTCTACTCTGTATTGAGCACCCTTTTAAGAATAGTATTTTGTGGTTATTGGAATTTATTCCTTATACGCCAATCCTATAATTATATATATATATATATATATATATATATATATATATATATATATATTGCTAAAATGCATAGTCCAATAGTGTTATAAAAGCCTCACGGAATTCCAGTAAGATATCTTTAATCATTTCTAACAACCGGGCAATTTTGCTGTTACACCCGGTATATATAGTATGTGTAGCGTTATAATCACCAAATTGTTTCTTATGACGACATCTGCTCTACCAAACAAAGCTGCAACAAGTTACAAGTTGGAGAGTGCCATGTTGAGGATGGAGGAACGTTATTTGACAAATATTTCCAATTCAGACGGCGGATTAAAGAAATACTTGAGATAAAAAAAAAGCCAACAAAATCATAAGACTTCTTAGAATAGTTACTGTGTAGTAGGAGAAAATTTGGACAAAAGGAAGCATAAGATAGATGCTAGAAACTAGAATTTTCGGACATAACGTATGCGTTTCCCAACATGATATAAACAACTTAAAATACAACTTATACATCGAAATACATAATACATCCATATATATATATATATATATATATATATATATATATATGTAAACAAATATATGGATATATATCCGACAGCATGAAGAAAAATATATGGAAAAACAATAATCCGAATATGCAAATATGCTGTTTTAATGTTATTTCAATGTCGACGTCTGACGTTTCGGTCTAGTAGACCTTCTTCAGGACATAGTTATTAAAATATAATTAACATTAGACGATATTCAAGTCAACATGAAAAGACGATGGACATAAGAGTAAGACTAATCAAAACAGAATAACTGAAATTTTTAAGAATGTACTTATAAATTCTAGATTAAAATAAAATTCTTTTTCATTTTTCATTTAAAATATACTCTATTTTAGGAATACGTTTTCACAACATCGCCTACGTGAAACGGAACGCTGATCTTAAAAAATTCAGTTATTGAATATTGTCTTAAAGTTCCGAAATAAAAAGTATTTATTTCATCATAAGAAGAGAAAAGCGATCGACATGCTTTAAGACCAGTAGATTCCATACTTAAACAGTTGATATGGTACACAGAACAAATCATGACACTAATAGAAGAGGAAATCGATCCCCGTCTTTATGATCAGCAGCATCTTTATCGAATCTGTAGAAATTGTTGACGGATTTGGTTTGGTTTGTTCTGTTTTACGGCATTTCAACCTCAATACCGACAACATTTTTCATTGTTGGTACTTTTTTTTTTTTTTTTGCAAAAATCTATTTCTGGTAATATTTTTTTTCTTCAAATATGTATCATTGGTAATATTTTAAAAAAAAATTTATTGCTGGTAATAATGTTTTTACAAAGTATTTCTGGTATTAAGAAATATTTTGAAACTTTCATAAAGTTTTGACCCCAGTTTGGTTTGGTTTGGTTTGTTTTACGACAGATAATCCTCATTGGGTTATTTAATGCCGACAATTGTTATTCCTGGTAATTTTTTTTTCGAAATGTATTTAAGGTAATATTTTCTTGTTCAAAAATCTATTTTGGGGAATATTTATCCGAAAAAAAAAAACATGTATAGTTGGTTGTATTGCTGGTAATTTTTTTAAAAAAGTATTGCTGATAATAGTTTGATTTTTAGTTCAGTTTGTTTTACGGCATATCAACACTTCAATGGGTTATTTAAGGCCGTCAAATTTTTTATTGCTGGTAATTATTTATTTAAAAATGTATTGCTAGTAATAATTTTTTTACAAAGTATTTCTGATATTAAAACCTATTTTCACACTTCCATAGTATCTTGACCCAACTTTGGGTGTTAACTATTTGCCCATAGCTGGGATCCTAACAGTTGCTACCACCCCGAGTCAGATGGAACCTGGGAACACCAGCAATTAAGAGGTGGTTCCACGTTTATCAAAACCTCCTGAACAGAGGCTATACTGTTGGACGTAGTTTATCGTCATACCCAGGACGCGGATGTAGTTTATCGTCTTAACCAGGACGCGGATGTAGTTTATCGTCTTACCCGGGACGCGGATGTAGTTTATCGTCTTACCCAGGACGCCGATGTCGTTTATCGTCATACCAAGGACGGAATTTTAGACGGAAAGATTGATGACATTATTAACAGAGTAAACTGATCCCCCACCTTATGGCCGGTAGAATCTTAATGCAACCTGTAGAAATTGTAGTTTGTCGTATCCACCCACCTCTTGAAAACTCCTTGTTGTGTCAGGAAAAGGGATACAGTCGTTCGAGGACAAATGCTTGAGAATGTTCCTCGGCATCTCCGACTTGTAGAACAATGCATGTGAATATGTACGGGTCAAGGTCGAAGGTCTCGTAGGCCGACTAGTATCTCTTCTCGCCACTATTAAGCGTCGGAAGATGTCATGGTTCGGCCACGACACGCAGCATAACAGCCTCTGCAAGACCATCATGTGTTGGACGCGGACGCCAGCGGCGATGGCAACGTAAGAGCTGGTCAAACGGCATCAAAGAGGGTACGGCCATGACAATCCTGGCACTCCTGAGAGTCACAGCAAACAGATCATCCTGTAGAATATTATCTGCTTCTGCTTTTGGCCTCACCACTCACAGACTGTTGAAGCAATCAAGGGACATATGATGACGAAGATGATGAATTCTGTTGTTCATGATGACGGTCGTCTTCGAGTATAGAATCCAGAGGTTAGCAGTGAATATTTCGGAGACAGTAGGAAAACGTTGTTCAGGTTAGCAGTGGATATTTTGGTAAAAGTAGCAGAGCGTAGTTCTTCCTTCTGTTCCTCTTCGCCTGGCAAGCTGGTACTAGACATTCGGATAGAGTAAACAAAATGGCCGCCTTTATACACGACGGATTGAATATTCTACATCTTCTGATTGGTTAACCTTCTATTGGTGGACTATAAAGTGAGTCAAGTGATTTGGGCTAACTCACTAGTAGATATATATATATATATACACAAAAAAACTGCAACAAATTCTGCGAAAATATGTAATGTGTGAATAAGGAAATGATATCTTTTAATTAATGCCCATGTAAAGCAGCTGCCGCTGCTATTTCCATTACTAATTATGACCGGAATAACTATTATCCGCTTTCATTTTCAGACCGAAATTAAGAAAAAAAAGAATGAAACGGGGTGGGGGTGAAAAAAGGAAATTTAAAAAGAGAAAGAAAAAGTATGTGTGATAATGTGAGCGAGAAGGAGAGAAGTAAAAGAAAGTGAGAGATAAAAATGATAAGGAAATGATCTGTTTTAATTAATTAATGCCAAGGTAAAGCCATGCCTTCTGCTATTTCCATTGACAGTTATGACAGGAATAACTATTATCCTCTTTCATTTTTGCTCCAAGGTATAACTCTTTTCCGGAGGAACCAATTTTTTTTTTTTTGTTTTTTTTATCTGATGTGCTGATGAGAAAACATTTTTTCACTTATTTCGTTTCGTCATTTTTACTTTCAACCGCCTCCACTACCCACAAAAAACATTACATTCTCATCAGGGGTTGTTTATCTAACCCTGTCTTTGCTCTCTATGGGCGCCATTGTTGTCTGGCACATCCATTTGCAGACGTTCTAGAGAAAGACAGATGTGTGGGAGAATAGCCGACAAAGAAAGAAAGAAAGAAAGAAAGAAAGAAAGAAAGAAAGAAAGAAAGGAAAGGCAAGGAGAAAAATATAAAAAGAATGGGGCGTGGTTAAGAGAAAAATAAAGAGAGAAAGAAAAGAGTATGAGAGAGTGAGAGTGAGGGGTAAAGAGAAACAAGAATGAGTGAAAGAAAAAGTGAGTATAATAGAGTAAATAAATGAGCATTAGAAAGAAAGAAAGAAAGAAAGAAAGAAAAGACAAGGAGAAAAATATAAAAAGAATGGGGCGTGGTTAAGAGAACAAGAAAGAAAGAAAGAAAGAAAGAAAGAAAGAAAGAAAGAAAGAATCAAATACAATGAGAATGAGCTTGTGAGAAAAGAAAAAGGAGAATAAGTGTGCATTAGAAAAAGAAAGAAAGAAGGAAAGAAAGAAAGAAAGAAAGAAAAGAGAAAGAAAAAACAAAAAAGAATGGGCGTGGTAAAGAGAAAAATAAGGGGAGAAAGAAAAGAGTATGAGAGAGTGAGAGTGAGGGGTAAAGAGAAACAAGAATGAGTGAAAGAAAAAGTGAGTATAATAGAGTAAATAAATGAGCATTAGAAAGAAAGAAAGAAAGAAAGACAGAAAGAAAGAAAGGAAATAGTTTGGGAGAGCAAGAAAAGACAAAAATGAAAAAAGAAAATGATTGTGCGTGGTAAAGAGAAAAATAAAGAGAGATAGAAAAACGTATGAGATAGTGAGGAAACACGAAAGAGTGAAAGAAAAAGTGAGTAAAAGAAAGAAAGAAAGAATTAGAGAGAGTGAAAACGAGCTAGTGAGAAGAGAAAAGGTGTGTAAGAGAGAAAGAGAAATGAAAGTGCGTTAGGGAAACAAGAAAGAAAGAAAGGCGCAAGCAAAAAAAAAGAAGACAAAAGACATAATGCGTGCGAGAGAAGAAAGAGTAAGAGATAAAGAAAGAAAAAGGAGAGAGAGACAAAAAGGAAGAAAGAGGAAAAATCACAATGCGTGAGAGAGAAGAAAGATATAGAGAAAGAAAGGAAAGAGAGATATATAAAACGAAAGAAAGAGGTAAAAAGACACAGCGCGTGAGAGAGAAGGGATAGAGATAAAAAAAACCCAAAGGAAATAGAGACAGAAAAAAGAAAAAGACACAATGCGTGAGAGAGAAGAAAGATAGAGAGAAACAAAGGCAAGAGAAAGAAAGAAAGAAAGAAAGAAAGAAATGAAGAAAGAAATGGATGTAAAAGAAAGAAAGAACGAACGAACGAACGAAAGAAAGAAAGAAAGAAAGAAAGAAAGAAAAACATATTCGTGAGAGGGAAGCCAGAGAGAGAGAGCGAGAGAGAGACTGAGACTGAGACAGACAGACAGACAGAAAGAGAAATAAAGGAAAGAGAGATAGACCAAAAGAAAGAAGAAAAAAAATGGCACAATGAGGAGAGAGAAGAGAGCTAGATGGAAATAAAACAAAGCAAACGGAGATAGAAAAAAAGAAAGAAGAAAAAGAGACAATGCGTGAGAGGGAAGAGAGAGAGAGAGATAGAAAGAAAGGAAAGAGGAAGATAGACCAAAAGAAAGAAAGAAAGAAGGAAAAAACAAGGACACAATGCTTGAGAGAGAAAAACGAGAGTTCGCGCCAAGCATGATTATCGATTATCAAATATCATCTTCAGATAATATTGTTCAAGGACGCTCTAACCGATTTAGCCAGAAGCGTTAAATGACGTCCAAGTTTTTTTCTTCCTCTCTCTTCTTTTATTGTTGAAGAATTTGGTTTGTCTGTGAATCAAAGACAATTCTCCGTTCAGTTGTCTGTGTTAATATCTCAGAGGTTCACCAAAGTTCAGTATTCAAAGATCTGATCTTTATCAAGTCTCCAAACGCTGTCAGTGTAAGAAAAATATGTCCTACAGGTAAATTCTTCTCCAAGACATGACGGAAAAAATTATAATATTTTCGCGGTTTTCCTATTTGAATTTCCTCGGGAATCTTAATTCTTAAGTTGATAATTGAATAAGCTTCATGCAAGTTGTAAAACTTTAAAATACCCATGGAATTTCCCTTATTGCATCGTGAAATATTTGAACTGCATAGCTTTAACATATTACACAATAACAATAAAAAATGAAGGTAAGCGAGCGGGGTGCACCAGACGTGGTGTAATTGTCCTCACTAGGGGGGGGGACTCAAACTTTCGGCCTTGTGCCACATCTAAGCTACGCTGAGAAAATGAAGCTCGTCTCGCAAGAACAATTACTTCTAAGTAGTGGGTTCGGTCCTCACTGAGTGCCCCCATAAATTCGGCCTTGTATCACATCTAAGCTACGCTGAGAAAATCAAGCTCGTCTCGCAAGAACAATTAATTCTAAGTTCTGGGTTTGGTCCTCACTGGGTACCAAAATACATTCGGCCTTGTGCCACATCTAAGCTACGCTGAAAAAAAAATCAACATAAACTATTCGGGCACCTCGACATGGTGTAATGGTTAACGAGCTTGTCTCGTAAGAACAATTACGACTGAGTAGCGAGTTCGACCCTCACTGGAACCCATTACATTCGGCCTTGTGCCACATCTAAGCTACGCTGAGAAAACCGAGCTCATCTTGAAAAAACAATTACCATTGAGTTTGATCCTCAGTGAGTGCCCCATACATTCGGCCTTGCGCCACATCTAAGCTACGCTGAAAAAAAAATCAACATAAACTATTTGGGCACCTCGACATGGTGTAATGGTTAACGAGCTCGTCACGCAAGAACAATTACGACTGAGTAGCAAATTTGATACTCACCTGTTGACCCCAGACTTTCTGCCTTGTGCCACATCTAAGCTCCGCAGAGAAAATCAAGCTCGTCTCGCAAAGAACAATTACTTCTAAGTAGTGGGTTCGGTCCTCACTGGGTGCCCCCATAAATTCGGCGTTGTGCTACATCTCAGCTACGATGAGAAAAATCAACATAAACTATTTGGGCAACTCGACGTGGTGTAATGGTTAACGAGCCGTCTGGCAAGAACAATTATGACTGAGTAGCGAGTTCGGTCCTCACTGAGTGACCCCATACTTTCGGCCTTGTGCCACACCAAGACTCTGCTTAGATAATAATCATAATTTGTAGGGGGGGGCATCTCGACGTGGTGTAATGGTTAACAAGCTTGTTTCTTAAGAACAATTATGACTGAGTAGTGACTTCGATCCTCACTCGTTGCCCCCATAGATACGGCCTTGTGTCACACCTAAGATGCGTTGAGAAGATCAACATAAACTATTTGGGCAGCTCGACGTGGTGTAATGTTACCAACCTTGTCACGCTAGAAAAGTTACGACTTAATAGTCCGTTCGATCCTTACAGGATGCCCACATACTTGGGCGTTAGTGAGATTCACCCAAAGAGTTATGAGTTCAATACCTGGTTAAGGCAGTAGAGAACTTGGAGAGGTGAATTAACAGGAGATAAATGACATCTATTAGTCATGGTACGCGGAACTAGAACAGTATACCCTAGCGAGCGAAATAAAGGGTTCAGTTCCATATTCCAAATACCTGAAGAAGGCCGGAGCATACAATGGCCGAAACGTTGTGATAAATATGGCAACAAAGACCAGGAGGATAGTCTGAACAATTAAATACTATATATATATATATATATAAGATAATATTAAGGAGCCAGGCAAACTTACCTAGGTTTCACCTAAACGGATAGTCAGGGTAATATATATATATATATATATATTAAGAAATGGACAAAGTCCGAGAATTTATTAAAGACATTTTTATGTTTAACATTCTTTTTATAGATACAAGTATTTAAGTAAATGCTCTGTTTATAATAAACAGTATTAAATAACATTTACCGGCCTGAATGTCCTAGAAATTTCCATAGAAAATATTCGTCCTTTGATAGGATTCGAACCTGCATCCTATACGGAACCATCTTTTAGCTTGACGTGCCTAACCTCTCGGCCACAAAGGATCGTTCGGTTGGCAAGGTCGAATTTACTGCTTATAAACTTCAATCTTCCATGAATCTCGTATATTCATAACTGCTCATGTCTAAGCTGGTCATAACTTGTCCAAGTTAGTCAGAGCTCGTTTGAGTTAGTCGTACCCGGTGATATCATCTGTCCTGTACCAGGTTAGTAAAGATTAACTTTAACCCCTACTGAGCCAGGTTGTGATACAAGGTCGGGTTTTAACGTGGGGACCAGAGTGTTTTCCACTCTAGCGGCTGGTCATAGCTTGTCCAAGTTGGTCATAGCTCGTTTGAGTTAGTCATAGCCGATTATACCACCTTTATTGTGCCAGGTCCGTAGAGATTTACTTGAACCCCCACTGAGCCAGTTTGTGATAGACGGTCGGTTTTTGACGTGGCGACCCGAGTTTTTCCACTCTGGCGACTGGCCTAAGTTCGTCATAGCTCGCCTGAGTTAGTCATTGCCGATGATACCATATGTCCTGTACCAGTCCGTAGAGATTTACGAGCCAGGTTGTGATAGACGGTCGGTTTTTAACGGGAGGACTCGAGTGTTTCCACTCGGGCGGCTGATCTAAGCTGATCATAGCTTGTCCAAGTTGGTCAAAGCTCGTCTGAGCTAGTCAATAGCCGGTGATACTACCTGTGCTGTACCAGGTTCGTAGAGATTTACTTGAACTCCTACTGAGACAGATTGTGATACAAGGCCGGTTTTTAACGTGGGGATCTGAGTGTTTTCCACTCGGGCCGCTGGTCTAAGCTGGTCTTTAAGCTAGTCATAGCTTGTCTAAGATAGTCATAGGTGGTCCTACCAGCGCTACATAACGGATTTTACGCAACGGTGGGAGGCGTAAAAAAAGGGAGAAGGCCTCCAGAACGGAAAAAATACTACATCTTCAGCATCTATCTCAACGGGTAAAATCGCTTCTACTCTTCTGTCAATCCCCCCAGAAGAACTCGGAAAGAAAACCCCTACTCCCCACGGGAGCAACACCCTTTCTTGGACTCACGTTGCCCTCACATATGAAATGAATCGACTATATCGAATCAAAGAAACTGTATTGCTTTATTTCTCTTCAAGTGCCACTTTTGTAGTTTTACGTACTTTTTAGATTTGTCACCGGAACCAAAAGACTTAAACATGAGCCGAAAGATGCGGGAGGTGACATTTCATCACCGCCGACTCGTCACCGGTGGTGATGAGTTGTCCTGCACCCCTAAGCATATGGTCCTAATCTTAGCCCCAATGTTATCATCACTGGTATATAACTTTTAAAGACTTTTCTCTTTATTTTGGTCTACTTTAGTATCACTTTTTTTATTTGAACATTCTTTTAATGTAGCCATCTTTTATACTTTTATTTTACGTTTGTCTTTCTATGAAGAATCCTTTTTCGACACATGTTCTCTGTTTGCACATTATTGCCAAATGTAGCTTGCACATAACTTTCGCCCTTTCCATGAGCTCACACGCAACATTTAAACGTATTCGTGTTGCAAGCTTTATACATACAGTGCTACCTCGGCTTAAGTCGTTTCGAGTTAAGTCAATTTCGAAGATACATCGGTTTTTCATAAATATTATATGGAAAAATAAAACTCGACTTACGTCGTTTTACTCGAGTTTACGTCGGCCGTTAAAAAATATTACAAACGTCAAAACACTAAAATATCAATAAACACATAAAATCATATCTGAATAATTTTAAAATATAATATATATATATATATATATATATATATATATATATATATATATATATATATTGATGCATGTTTCATTAAATAATATAGACAAGTGTTTATTTATTTTATGTAAATTCTTTTCATATCGTCTGATAAGCTTAATAACATTATCATTAAACGAAGAAAGAAAATCATTGTATCTCCAACTAATTAAATAATATTTATGTTGGTCACACCACAAACTTGCTTTCACGACGCTTGATGCTACATTTGAATAATAACTCTAACATTTTTAGGCATTTAAAACAACATGCCTGGCCGCGTACACAATTCCGGAAAATCCTCGTTGAAAACACAACTATACTTAAACATGAAAACAATAAGCAAAAACTAAAAATTATTGAAGCTATATACATAAAACAGTTGAAAATTAACCTAAACAAAATAAACTATGAAATCTTCACAAATATTCTTAATGCCTATAATTCGTAAGAGAAGCCATTGGTTTATACCAACGGCTTCCCATACTTAATACTTCTCGTTTTCACTCTCGCGTGGTCATGTGTGACCTCCTGAGCTGCGGTGCGATTTTCGCTTCCAGCGTCTTATATGCACGAATTTGTCGTTGCTTGGAAATCTTCCATGTAAACAGAAACAGACTATCATCACTGTCTTGTCCGTGTATTGCTTAATATATTGTAATGTAACTGTCAACTTTGATAATGGCTTTTGTAAGCCGAAAGGTTAGATAGGATTAAAAATATGTATCAATATTATGATTTTCTTTCTTCGTTTAATGACAATGTTATTAAACTTATCAGACGATATGAAAAGAATTTATATATATATATATATATATATATATATATATATATATATATATATATATATATATGTATAATAAAATTATCAAAACAAAAAAATAGCATAATAAAGTATGAAAAATTTCTCAGAGTTAACTTGTTGAAAAAATATTTATAAATGCAAAA